TAGATCATCGCAGTTATAGACGCAACTTCTGCAGTTGCGAAAATAAGAAGAAGAAGAAGAAGAAGAAGAAGAAGAAGAAGAAGAATGCTCACGTCCCGTTCAAGGATGTGAAAGTGAGAAGTATGTCTGCTCCGTGGATTAACAACACAATTAGGCACAAAATGAATCGCAGATTTAAATTATTCGAAGAGGCAAACCGGACAAAGGATCCTAGCAAATGGGCCTGCATATAAGAAACTGAGAAATGAAATCACAGCTGATATACGCAGAGCCAAGACTAAGCATTTTATAGATCTATTAGCTGATGTCAAAACCACTGCAGAGTATTGGAACCTGCTTTCAAAGGCGAATAACCCTAAATTAAGGAAAGCGATAGGCCCATTGAAAAGAGAGGATGGATCGCTCGCAGTTGATGACAAGAAAAATCAAACCTAGTCAATAATTTCTTCTCTAACATCGGAGAGAAACTGGCTGGCAGTTTCCAGCCCCAATATCTATCTCACCTGGCCACGTCAACTAAGATTGTTCCCTGTGTTAATAACATTGCACTATCGCCTTTGGCCATTGAGAGAAAATTAGCTAATCTCAAAACAAATAAAGCGACAGGACCCGACGACATATCACCGAAAATAGTCAAGGAAGCTGGAGATGCATTGCTATCCCCGATGATGCTCCTTTACAATATGAGTTTGAAGGATGGTTACGTCTTTAGCCAGTGGAAGACTGCGAGAGTCAATCATGTTTTTAAAAAGGATGACGAGACTGAAATCGGAAATTATCGCCCCATATCTCTTCTCAGTGTTCCGAGCAAAATACTTGAAACCATTGTTGCTGATTCGATTGTTGAAACCATTGTTGCTGGTTCGATCATTCACCATGCGTTTATTGAAAATAGATTAATTACAGACAAACAATGGGCTTAGAGGAGAGGATATTCTACAGAGCTGTTGCTAGTACATATGACAGAAATTTGGAGGAGTGCCATTGATTCAAATAAAGTTGTTGGTATAGTGCTGGTAGATTTCCAGCAAGCGTTCGACTGTGTCTCCCATAATGTGCTATAAACCCAGCTATAAAAGTCAAAGTTGCAACTGAAATTCGCCGACACACAGCCGGCGCAGAAGCTGTTGTTTTTCGACCGTTCTCTGAACGACTGTTATGAATGAACACTGAGGAACAAAATAATACACAAAGAAGTTATTTTTGGAAAAATTTATTTGAAAACCCAAATGTTTCTGTATTCGAATGAAATTCGCTTTTTCCAGCGTCGGTGCCCGTTTAAACTCAACTAAAATTTTTAATCGATGCGATGAAAACTTCACAACAAAGCTATCTCGAATTTGAGCGTGTTTCCTAAAATAATTGCTTGAATTTAGCATCAGCTTGACCAAAAAGTCAAGACCACGATGCTAATTGACAAATTTACATTTCAAACAGACTTTCTCTTCTATAAAAAACACACAAAATGTACCTTAAATCTTCGCTCGCTCGATTATCCTTCAGCCGATTCTAGCCGCGAGGAAAACAGTGATTAATTCATCCAGGGCAAATTTGTCGCGTGATCTTTTGTCTTTTTTCCTTCAAAACGACAGCTAAGTATTTTCTTCAACTTCCACTTTTCATCTGTGCATTTCATCGGCGTATTTTACGTCAGGAGAGGAGATCAGTTGAATTTGCCTAAATTTTACCGCGCTAGCTCAGTTTCTTGGCGTGCACCCATGGGCACATGGTAGTGGCTAACTGACCAATCAGAGCGCGCGATTTACTTTTGTTATGTTATAAACGTTTTAATGCATAAAATGTAGGGAGGGAGTAGCCTGCGTAGATGGCGGTATTGTCTCGGTGCACCATTTAAGTTTTGGCGGCAGAGACGTGATCCAAAAAAGGGAGTGGGGACGAGGCGGTTGAATTTCTCGCGGCTTACGCCGCCAGCTCTCACTCGACTACTACACAATACCGCCAGCTACGCAGGCTAGGAAGGAGGATGTTTAAAATTTTGGGAAAATGGGAAAATAAATTATTGGATTTGGGGGTTGTTAAAAATTAAAATATGAAGTGAATAATTTGTAGACAATTACCAGATAGTCCACCACCACAACAAGGTGCCTCTTATCCCATCAGCGGACTAACTGCACTGGTTTATGTGTATACCTTTTCAACCCTAATTTATTTTCTTCCCAAATCAACATCATTTTCCCAAAAAACCAACCGTAATGAGCCCTTAACTTCGCTATTCTTGAAATTGGAATCAAGGTCCTTCTTTGCTACACCACGTTTGGTTGTTTAATTTATTTTGTTCTTCAGAAGAAGGCAAGGACACCACTGGGCAAATGTATCAACTCAGAATCTAGAATCACGCTCACCCCGTTAAAGAAAGCAGATAACAGCTAAGACCCGCGAGGAGGGAAGGCCCTTAAATTAAGGATACATTCTTTTCATGAAAAGCTGCCATAACTATGCTGACCAAGGGGACGAAATGCAGTACACAATGCATGTATTAGGAGCTGAATAAATAAGATTGCTCGTTCGTTAGTGTTCCGTATATCATCCCTCCTCTCATTTTTTATGATACCTGACACCCATTATTTTCACTTGTTAAATAACATACATTGAAACCTCTACAAAGCAAACACCTTCGTGACCTTCCCTTCCGCTTAATAGTATTTGTAAAATAGCGTAATGTTTGTTAACGATTAACATTCAACGGTTACTCAGTACTGTGATAAAGTTCCATGTTGTTAAGTAAACTAAGGAGGCTGTGCCGTACTTTGTGCAAGACTTTTAGGTTAACTCTGATCGCGGATGACAATCATACGGCCGGATATCGGTCTTTTGACAGCTAAATGTATTGATTTATCTTTATTAATCGACTACGTATTTCAAGGAATTGTTAATTCAGTCCGGTGTCCGCTTAATAGAGGTTTTAAGCAATAGAAATTAGCGAAATATAATTTATTTTAGTGTCCGCGTCCTCTTAATAGAGGTGTTAGCTGAAGAGGAGTTCGTTGTAAAGGGAAAGATAAGATGCTAATTTCGGGACCCGGCTTAGTGTCCGCTTAATAGAGGGTGTCCCCTTAATTGAGGTTCCGCTTCATAGAGGTTTCACTGTATTCACTTGTCAGGTTTTGAGGACGTTTTGTTTTGCTCAGATTTTCTAAGGGAGCAAGGTATATACAAAATGGCCCATCCTATTACAATAGTCACACTTCAAACAAAGAGGGCTTGAAGAACGTGCCTTTCGCCACAGCTGTTTTCTCCCACGTGAGTCTCCTTGAATACTTTTGCAGCTATGTCCAAGACCATCACCCAAAAGGCGCACAAACAACCTGATCAGTAGTACTTGTTATACAGAGTCGATACTTCTTGCTTTTTGATAGTGGGCGTGCTGTATATAAGCGCTCGACTAAGTGCTGCGGTGATAAATCAATAGCAACCTTTACCGATAGCCTGAATTTCATCCGATTACTTCGAGTCGTTATTACTCCCTTAGTAACGTCTGAATCGACCAGCCGTTAATGCCGTCCAGTGACGTCACTACTCCTTTGCTTTAATTCATGCAAAAAGTTAAACACGATTTTCAAGTGGCAAACCAAGAAATATCGTTTGGAAATGTCTGCATGATACAGAATACAGAATGGCTTTACTTTTTTTCGATCGCAATTCATGTTTAAGGTTCAAACTATCAACTGCATGCAGTACTCTGAACCGGTTGTAATAGGCCACTTCCGAGTTCCAAAACCCTCACTTTTAAAATGAGGCCAAGTACACAACCTTTCTTGTGAAAATGACTTTTATTTGCACGAGAATGAAAAATCATTTCCATATCAAAGGCTGAGCGCTTAACCTCGTTTTGTTACAGAGACCCGATGGAACTCGGAAATGACCTTTTCCATAATCAAACTCGGTCGCAATCACGCAATGAAATAAATACACAAACGGAACGCTTAGTTCAAAAACACAACGATTTGCTTTAATTCAAAAGAAGCTATTTGTTCCTTAACGAAGAAAAAAAAGAAAACAAGGAAACAAGAAAGAAAAGCTAACAGAATCATTATACTTTGAAAATTTGAAAATAGCTAGAAGGTCGTATTACAACATTGGTCTCAGAAACTTCGTATAAACAGAATCACTGCCGAAACCACAAAACGGCTCTAAATGAGAAACCTACCGACTCTCCGCAATGATTCTTCATTCGCAGTTCAATTAAGCATTTACCTTTGGAAGACGGGGGCGAATTTGCTGTTTACGATAAAGATTATCGAAATGTTTGAACTCCCGCAAGCATACCAGGGATATGATCAGCTGAATATCAAACGACAATCCCGCTAAAATTTCTCGTAATTATGCATAATTATGTGAATGTTTAGACAATCAACCAATCAAATCACTACCCGGTTTTCGGGTAGTGATGGCGTCACTAGATGGCATTAACGGCCTGTCGATTCAGACGTTGCTGAGAAAAGAAAACGACTCGAAGCAATCGGATGAAATTCCGGCTACCTTTACCGACAGCTTCAACTGTTTACACACGGAACGCAGTCCGTAAATTGAACAGAGTGTTTCTTTCTCTCTTTTAAACGTCAAGTATTAGGTCAAATGAGAGAAAGTCCCATAAGGCGGTTCATGACTTAATAGAAGCTACTAGGCCGGTAATTTCTACAAATGTCTCAGTTATACATACACGGCCAAATCAAGTCAAACCAATTTTTGAAGAACTTTATGGCGCGATACATATCAAAAATGAAAATGCTTCGTGTCTTTACAGTGAATCTCGATTTCATCTCAGTCTCCCTAGCTTCAAACGTGGCTTTTTTCACTTTTTCTTGCTTGATATGCGCCCTAAACCTATATTTTGCTCAAAATTGCCCAGAACGGCTAAAAATTGCTCAAGGTTGCTAGAACCGCCAAAAAATTGCTCAACGGGTTCATAGCACAATCAGAACAGGCCTAGTTTTAACTCTTCGGTCGTTCCATGTTAGGTGAATAACCAATTAAGTTGTTCACAATAAATAAATATCATACTTACTCGAGCAGACCACAGATGCATCCTCATGGTGTCTACAGTTATGAACACCCCATGAAGCGTGATTACAATTCCCAATGGAACTTTCATATCCCTGACACTGAACATCGTCCAGCCAAATATTTCCACTTCCTTGACCGAACCGGGCGCTGTGTGGAGCACTGACAGCAGAAGGATAACCAAGTTGACGACAGACAACTCGCGCATCATTTATATCCCACAAATCGTCGCAAACAGTTCCCCATCTACCTCTGTAATATATCTCCACTCTGCCCTCTCCGGACCAAGTTCCTCCAACCAATCTCAATAAACCTGACGTATAAAAAGTGGCAATTTATTTACTGAGTTTAGATAGTAAATTGACGCCCTTCAAGAGATTCTACTTTTCACGAGAAAAGCTAATAATGAATGAGCCTACCTATGAGTACTGGAAGTTTATGCATAATTATATTTTTGCTTTTCATTACCTTAATACACCATAGGTCAAATGAGAGAAAGTCCCATAAGGCGGTTCATGACTGAATAGAAGCTACTAGGCCGGTAATCTCTACAAATGTTTCAGTTGTACATACACGGCCAAATCAAGTCAAACCAATTTTTGAAGAACTTTATGGCGCGATACATTTTAAAAATGAAAATGCTTCGTGTCTTTACTTTGAAGCTCGATTTCATCTCAGTCTCCCTAGCTTCAAACGTGGCTTTTTTCACTTTTTCGTGCTTGATATGCGCCCTAAACCTATATTTTGCTCAAAATTGTCCAGAACGGCTAAAAATTGCTCAAGGTTGCCAGAACCGACAAAAAATTGCTCAAAGGGTTCAGAGCACAATCAGAACAGGTCTAGTTTTAACTCTTCGGTCGTTCCATGTTAGGTGAATAACCAATTAAGTTGTTCACAATAAATAAATATCATACTTACTCGAGCAGACCACAGATGCATCCTCATGGTGTCCACAGTTACGAACACCCCATGAAGTGTGATTACAATTCCAAATGGAACTTTCATATCCCTGACACTGAACATCGTCCAGCCAAATATTTCCACTTCCTTGACCGAACCGGGCGCTGTGTGGAGCACTGACAGCAGAAGGATAACCAAGTTGACGACAGACAACTCGCGCATCATTTATATCCCAAAAATCGTCGCAAACAGTTCCCCATCTACCTCTGTAATATATCTCCACTCTGTCCTCTCCGGACCAAGTTCCTCCAACCAATCTCAAACCTGACGTATAAAAAGTTGCGTTTTATTTACTGAGNTATCCCTGACACTGAACATCGTCCAGCCAAATATTTCCACTTCCTTGACCGAACCGGGCGCTGTGTGGAGCACTGACAGCAGAAGGATAACCAAGTTGACGACAGACAACTCGCGCATCATTTATATCCCAAAAATCGTCGCAAACAGTTCCCCATCTACCTCTGTAATATATCTCCACTCTGTCCTCTCCGGACCAAGTTCCTCCAACCAATCTCAAACCTGACGTATAAAAAGTTGCGTTTTATTTACTGAGTTTAGGGAAGTAAATTGACGCCCTTCAAGAGATTCTACTCACGAGAAAAGCTAATAATGAATGAGCCTACCTATGAGTACTGGAAGTTTATGCATAGTTATATTTTTGCTTCTCATTACCTTGATACACCATAGGTCAAATGAGAGAAAGTCCCATAAAGCGGTTCATGACTGAATAGAAACTACTAGGCCGGTAATCTCTACAAATGTTTCAGTTATACAAACACGGCCAAATCAAGTCAAACCAATTTTTGAAGAACTTTATGGCGCGATACATATTAAAAATGAAAATGCTTCGTGTCTTTACGGTGAAGCTCGATTTCATCTCAGTCTCCCCAGCTTCAAGTCCCTCTTCGGGTCACCAGTTGAGGTTGTTCTTAGTTGCTGCGAGTTCATTGCTCCGGTCTTGTTAACGTTTAAAACTACTTTACAATAAGAGTAAGTTATTATAAAAGTAGTTTTGCCTATTCTTACCACCATATATAGGAAGCGAAACAGAAGATACTGGAAATTGTGTAGAGGCTGTATCATTGGTTTGACATTTAATAATCTTAGGTTAGACAGGCCGACTGCACATGTTAAAGTTACCTGTGCTTCTGTTTTCTTATTATTGCTTAAAATTCAGCCAAAAATTTTAACAACAATTTGTTTTCTTCATCGTGGTTCCTCTTACAAAAAGTATCCTCCCACAAAATGATATGCAATTCTAAATGTACCTGTGAAGCATGTTTTATTGCACAAACTTGCAATTACCTGCTGTAGGTGACACTGAACTTGCAGAGGGCAAAGGGGTTGAATAGCCTGTTAAAACAAGAACAAATCCTCATCAGTGATCAGCTAATGATTCTCTACTGAAGTGAAAGTCATGAACTGAAGGCAATTAATATGGCCGACGTGGCTTCTGGTCCCATTTGATAACAAATTGCATTTGTTTTTTTTGTTTTTTGTTTTTCACTTTTTAAGTAGTATGTTCTCTAAACTTATATTTTTCTCAAAATTGCCCAGAAATGCTAAAATTGCTCGAGGTCATTAGAACCGCAGAAAGTTGCTCCAAACCCTGAAAGTTGCTCAGTTGCTCCTGTTGAGTTATGAAGAAGTTATCAAACAAATTTCATCGGGGAGCACTAACCATAATAGCTTTTTAGTTATTTTTGCAGGCATATCATTAAACTTCAGCACCTTAGAATAGGTGGCCAAAATTTTTTTGGACTCACTCCTTTGCTATCAGTAGCCACAGATTCAATGCCTAAAGTCGAAAATAATATAACTTGACAATTATTTTTGGACTTCAATCGATGCGAAGATACATTTTAGCTCTTTAAAAAGATGGCAAATAGAGTATGTGACTGATTGAGACCTGTTCCCGATCGAATAAATGAGTGTTAGCTGTTTTGCTGTACTCAATAAGGATTCAGGCATGATATCCGTACTCCTGGCCATGAAAAATTAGTTGAGACACTTTACCCTAAAGGGCCTTTCTGACGTTTTACTGACTTCAAAAAGGAAAATAAAGCTCTTCTTCCCTCATCCCTTCATGCAATGTTGTACCTTCGAAGTATCTGTAGAAAACTGACCTGCACCCCATATTTGAATGGAGGGGACGTGGGGAGGGTTTGGATTGTTTTGTTCCCTGAAGTGACCCCATTTGATTACAATATCTCAACAATTTTGTCGCCGATTTTCCTTTAGTAAAGGTCCAGGTCCAGGTCTTTACATTTGGTTAAGTCTGTGACTTCCTTTTTCTTTTTCTTTTTTTTTTTTTTCAAATCCAGACTTTTACTACCCTGGCTGCTGCGGGGTGTTTTGTTTTAATTATTATTTTTATCTTATTCCTGATAGTTCGCTGCGGACATGGAAGTAACCAATCGGCGACAACCAAATCAGATTCTGAACTGATTTCACGCATGGAAACGAAGTTGCTTGCTCGTGTGACCACCAGAGGTCCGTCTCGGGAGCTTCACCAAACCCTGCGTACGGTTTATTTCATCCTATCTAGTTATTCCGCGAGAACGGACCTCCGGAGCAAGCGTAGACTTTCATAAGATTTATTGATAGGTCAAATGAGAGAAAGTCTCATAAAGCGGTTCATGACTGAATAGAAGCTACTAGGCCGGTAATCTCTACAAATGTTTCAGTTATACAAACACGGCCAAATCAAGTCAAACCAATTTTTGAAGAACTTTATGGCGCGATACATTAAAGAGGAAAATGCTTCGTGTCTTTACGGTGAAGCTCGATTCCATCTCAGTCTCCCCAGCTTCAAGTCCCTCTTCGGGTCACTAGTTGAGGTTGTTCTTAGTTGTCGCGAGTTCATCGCTCCGGTCTTGTTAACGTTTAAAACTACTTTACAATAAGAGTATAAGTTATTATAAAAGCAGTTTTGCTTATTCTTACCACCATATACAGGAAGCGAAACAGAAGATACTGGAAGTTGTGTAGAGGCTGCAATTAAGTAAATGAAACGTTAACAAGAGAGTCACTAAACAGTAATCCAACAACATGCAGTTACATACCAAAGGATCATGAGAAAAGGAGCTCCACTGTCAGCCATTGGCTTAAAGTGCTAACAACGGTCACTTGCCATAAATTTTCACCAACCGATTACCGATTGCCTGCGGCGTTCTTTCTTGCTATAGACTAGATGCCCATGTCTCCTCGCTTCAGCCCTTTGTAACATCCAACGACCACTAGAGCCGAAGGAATTAATACAAACAGCAACGCTCTTAATATTGGCGTTAAGTCTCGCTTTCTTAGAGATTAGAAAAGAAATGAGGAGGCGATTTATTCTAGACGAAACAGGATTTACTTGCAAGAGGCTTTTCGCTTCCTACTTCATGGACGGTCGAGTACTCTTCAGGACATTTACTTTTTATATCGTATTCGACGGTTGGTTTCTGAATTGATTTAGGGACGGACCATTTAATTTTTGTGGGGGTGGGAAGAGGGGGTGGGCCATTTCGTCTGAGCATGAATTTTTTTTTCAGCATTACTATTTGCAGGAATTTTTTTCCACCAAAATAAGTCTCTGCAGGGATTTTTTTTTTAGCGGGGTTCCCACGCGCGCGAAGTTCGAGTGGGACAGAGCCCCATACTCATGGAATATGATCAACCTCTTGGAAGGCACTAGATAACATCGACCTAAACCAGATGAGTCATCGATATGTCAGCGGCGTCTTACAAACTTACGATCGCTGCGAGAATGTTAATTTGAGTTTTTAAAAAAGGGTCAATTTTTGACATTAACAGTTTATATTACTAAAAACTGTTAAATCTTCAATAGACTCAACACAAGAGAGGGACAGAGAAGGCATCCCCCATACACACCCTATTCCATAGTTAATTCGTCTCAAGTTATTTTTAAGACCACAGATCCCAAGGGGGATTAGACAACAGCCAATCACATAGCGCGAATGTGTTCCGCGTGTATAACCCACGCTCAGAGTCACGCGTCCTTCACGAATTGACGCAGAACAAAATGTCGGAAGACGCGGAGAGCGATATTGCTATTCGTTTTGTCGGCGAAAACGACTACGGAGAGATTTCTGCTAAAGCTGTGTCAGCGAAACGGAAATTTAAAAAGAATCGCCCTTCCTCTCTTGTATAGAGCTAACAGTACAGCAGGGAAATCCTTAACACACTAAATATTCTCTCAGGATCATTTATAACTTACAGTTTGAAGAGAGCAATTTCTGGTTTGATATTTATTCTTTTATTAGTCTTTTATTCAACAAAAATAACACTTGGCGTATTTCTTGCTTTATTGTACAAACGACCGGTTTCAATAGACCGGCTGAATTTCTCATTTTATTAAAGCACTGAGGTTACGACAACTTCGAATTAAACTGATTTCACGGGTTGTCAAAGAGTCTAGCGATTCCCTTTTCCCAGGTGAGCGCCGACTCATTTAGCGTCAATATTCAGGAATGCTCTCGATCTCTTTACGCTTTCATTGCCTTTCGTCCGACATATTTTACACGGCGTTTAGTCATGCGAAACCTCCAAGAAACATCCACGCAGCGCGCGAGGTAACTTTATCCCGATTCTAAAAATAACTCGAAACGAATTACCTATGGAATATGGTGTGTATGGGGGATGCCTTCTCTGTCCCCTTTATCCTCTCTTGCTCAGCAGTATTGCGCCGAATTACGTGGCTTATGGTCGTTCCGAGGAACTTAGCTGAGGCTGGTTTCGGTCGATGTTATTTAGTGTCGACACGCCACGAAATACTATCTAACATCGACCGAAACCTAACTGGATCTCTGCAGTGGTTCTGAAAAAAAAAAAAAATTAATAAAAATTTTTAAAAAACCTGAATAAAATAAATCGAACAAGAGTCTGTTTATTGCTGTCCTTAGAGTCTCAAACAGTAGTATTTCAGCTTTTCTGACTTTCAGCTTAGAAAGTTTAAAAAGTTCGGAAAATTATTAGGACAGTTCTACTTTAACAATCAGGTGTCAATATTTGGCGCGAAATCTAAAATTTTCTGAGAGAATTGTCCTCTGAGAAGGAAAATGGCGGGAGAAGAAACAGCCCATACACCGTGGGCATCTCTATTCTCAGTCGCTTTCGATCCTTATTCGGGATACGTAGAGGACGAAAAAAGAGCAGAGGAGATTATTA